AGTCCCATTCTACAACAGTGGCATCATGTAATATTTGTCCTTTTGTGACTGGAATATTTCGCTCAGCATAATGTTCTCCAGAGTCAAACATGAATATTATCTTTTGTGTGCAAATTATAACTTAGTAGACAAAATAACAGGCGATGTCAAGGAATTAAGCACAAATTATGGAACATAGCGCTGGTGGCTTAGTGGCAAAGAGTTGGCATTGCCAACCCATAAACAAGGAGTTGGAATTCACTAGGTGCTCGTGAAAAAAAGATGGGCAATCTTTGCTCACGTGATTGACTGCCTCTGAAACGCAGGATCTGAAACGACAACAATTTTCTCTGCTCCAACCACTAGGAGTAATTTGCAGACCTGTTTCTCCAGGATGCCTCATCCATTCATTTCTCCACTTTTCTCCTGCAGTTCTTCCCCAGAGAGTGGGGGCCCCTAACACACCCTCACCAGCTCCCGGGTGCTGCGTCCCTTCCGCGAGGCCCCGCCCCTGACGCCCGGCCCCCTCCTGGCCCCGCCCCTAGCCTGGCGTCCTCCGCCTTCGGTGCGATAGAAGCGACGGGGCCTGTCTGTCCATTTTAGTGCCGCACAAAAAAAACCTAATACATTTCAGCAGTTGCGTTTCTTTTAAAGCCTACAGATAATTATTTCAGTATAACCATATATTATTCGTTGAATTGTGGCAATCTGGTTGCTCTAGCCTGAAAAATGGAGAATAGGCGTAATTGGAATTTCACCGGCAATATTGAAGATAGCCCTCACCGGGGGAGTGGGTCCTACGCCTCTCGGTCGCCGAGCCAAGGCCGGCCGGCCGCGCATGTGCAGTGAGCCTGACTCACCATGCCGACTGTCAGCGTGAAGCGCGATCTGCTCTTTCAAGCTCTGGGTCGCACCTACAGTGAGTATCGGCCTAGAGCCTGGGCCCTGCGTCCTGGCAGGTGTCCTCCCCGCTTTCCTGCTTGGGAGCGGTCGGGATCGGCACAAGGAGGGCTGAGCACTGCGTCGGCCTGGTTGGGTTCCTGCCTGTGGTTCTCCTCCGGGGTCCGGCGTCTGCGTGCCTGGCATTGCGTCAGCCGCACGTGCCCTGCCGACTGTCATTCATTCTGCAAACTCGAATCGAGCGCCTCCAGCGTGCTTGGCGTGGAGTTCGGAGCCCTACTAGGAATGATGCCCCGGGTTGCATCCGGAATGCAGCCCATTTAGTGCAATCAGAGGAGCTGTGCGAGGAAGGGAGTTGGAGTAGAGTTTTGAGCACGAGGGTGACCAACAGAAGGCAGCATCCCTTCTGTCATTGTTTCTAATTAACAACTACTGAACTCTCTTTGTGTGTCAGGAGCTGCTCTCAGTAATGATTAAGGGCTATGTTGGGTTTTTCTGGTGAAGGCGAGGCTCTAATCCACACATTACTAAAAGAATTTTGGGTAACGTCAAGTGGTATGAAGGAAAAGAAACAAGAGTATTATCCTAAGACCATTAGATAAAGTGGTAACGTTGGAGCTTGAGATTTGAATGACAAGAGTGTTGACTCAGAGATTTTAGTCGTCACCCCACACGTAATCCCTTCTTCGCATCAAAAAACAGTGTCATTAGAAACAAAAAGAGGGAGGGTAAGATAAAATTTTCTGTTGCCACGTAGTTGTCATTGTTGTTGTTTAGTACCAGAATCAACTCACAGCTGAGACTCTCCAGTGGATTTTCAGAGGATGTAGATTGCACAGGAGGAGATTGCCTACCTTTCTCCTATGGAGCAACTGGTGGATTCAAACTGTGTGCCTTTGGGTTCGCAGCACAAAGCCACTAGAAGTCCGATAGATGTCATTGTTGTTGTTTAATGCCATCGAGTCGTAAACGACTCATAGCGACCCTATGAACGAACAGCCTGAGCACTGTTCGTACATAGAGTTTCCAGAGGCAAGCCATTTTGGAAGTGGATGCCGCTCCTGCTTCCAGGCTTGATTTAGTCGGGAAGCTCCAGCCAACACTGTCCATCATGGGTGCCCATTACCACGATTGGCACATCACTGTCACAGGCTTCAGCATCACAGCAAGCACAAGTTACCTCTGTACAGCAACACACAGACCAGTGCTATACCACCTAGAAGAATGTTTGACAGGAAGACAATTTGAACCTGGCCAAGGGCCACAGATGAAAAATCACCCGCCTTTGGCTTGGTATCACAGCTTCCTTCCACTAGGCCAATATAGCTCTCTCTTGGTCGTAGTCATTGTTGTTGTTGTTTAATGCCGTCAAGTTGTAGACGACTCATAGCGACCCTATGAACAAACAGCCTGAGCACTGTTCGTACATAGAGTTTCCGGAGGCAAGCCATTGGAAAACCTTAGGAAGGAGGCGAGGGGAAAAAGCCCCGAGAAGAGTGTTACATATCCCGTGTACTTCCAAAAGAACAGCTTGGGTGTTCCTTAGAGGTAACAATGGTGAAGCTTTGTCCCACATACTTTGGGAATACAGTCAGAAGAGGCCAGTCTAGGAAGGAGACACCTTTCCTGGGAAGGTCAGTGAGAAACACCCACCTCTCAAGGAAGTAGCTTTTACACAGTGTAGCAGTGAGCTTGAGCATGTGACCTATCATTAGCAAAGGTGCAGGATAGGGTACGGTTCAAGTCTATTATTCATAAGGTTTTATGAGTCATAGACAAAACTGACAGTGAAGCGGCAATGACATTTCCCTCACATGATAATCATCAGTTCGCATAAAATCTGTAACTCCTGATTTACTGGAACTATTTGTTTTTAAGTCTTAATTTGATAACAAGACCCTAGTCCCTTTAGTTATAGTTGAGTAAACAACTTCCTAGGATAAGATATTTTTCAAATATTACTGTGAAAATAAAGTTGAACCAATTACTGTTGAGTCCCTCCCTATCATTGATTCTGTCGGACAATAGAACTTCACAGTAGGGTTTCCTAGGCTGTAATCTTTATGGAAAAGAGCCCTGATGGGCTAGTGCATAGTGTTGCCTGCTGCTAACGGAACAGTTGATAGTTCAAATCCACCATTCACTCCATGGGCTGTCTCCTTTTAAAAAGGTTTCGAGTGTTGGAAAATCCTATGGTGGGTCACTGAGTGGTACTCTGGTGGGTGAGAGGGAGTTTGAGTTTGCCGCATCTTACTTCCAAAGAGTCATACTTGACGGCACAGAACGATAACAGGTTCCAAGGAGCAGCTGGTGGTTTTGCACAGCTGACCTTTGATGACCATGCATAAACCCTGCACCACCAGAACTGAAAATAACTTCATAAGATACCATCTAAGAAACTTTATAAAGTACATTCTAAGGAGTAGACTTTCAGGTACTCTAGTCTTTACCCGTAAATTTCTGTCCTGTGTTTCTCAAAGGAAAAATCAACTTTAATTCCATAATCTCTTAAGTGTTTGGACACCTGAGGAAGTTTTCACTAATAGAAGTTCTGAGCTCTTAGTCTATTATGTTAATTCTGTGAGTTGGAGCCAAATTATATTTGATCACTTCTTAATTTAAGAGGTTGATTTTCTGCTAAGTAGGTGCAAAATTCCTAGTAGCTAACCTGTTCTGTAGTTGATACTACTATAGGGGGTTGTTGTGGTTGTTGTTGTGTACCACAGAGTCAGAACTGACCCATAGCTGACCCTCCCATGGGCTTTCAGAGTCTGTTAATTGCATGGGAAGAGATTGCCCATCTTTCTCCACTGATCAGCTTGTGGCCTTGAACTGCATGCCTTTGAGATTGCAGCATAGCTTCTTGCCACTAAGCCAGGAGATCTCCCTAGTATAAGTTTGTCAACTCATTTAATAATTTTTTTTCATATTGATATGCATATATGTATTTTTTTATCGCATACCTTTCTTCTTACACTGATGCCCATACATAGTATCTTGTTATATCACAATTAGTAGAAAAATGCAAGCTATATTTACTATTTTGTGTTACATCAAACAATTAAAAATAACCATTTTTCTTTTTCTTCCCTAGCTGATGAAGAATTTGATGAACTTTGTTTTGAATTTGGCTTGGAACTTGATGAAATTGTAAGTATTAATTTTTATTAATTTTATTAATTTTCCACATAGTCTATATACACAAACATTTTTCAGGACGTGGTTGTGTTTTGACTTTGTTGCTTTGTAACAACCAAGATGATGCCCTTGTGGCCCACAGGGGCTTCTTATGTCCAGGAGCTAAGCTCTGAGCAGACTAGGTCACCAGACCTCTGATTTTTTTCCTACACAGGTGAAAACCAATCATTGTTTGGATGACTGCTTAGAGATTTTAAGACCCTAGTTGCTACTCATCAGAGTAGGTTGGGAGAACATGGTGTCTGCGGACTGCTTACCAGCTGGCTGTGATACCTCCCAAGACGGGGAGGAGTAGCCCTGAATTCCCACAGTTAGCAACAACATTATCTAGTTACCAATCTTCTTCTCCCTCCTTCTTCCCCTCCCAGATGACTATCAAAAAATGCTTATTTCTGTGTTTACACAAGCTTCTGAGGTTTCCTCCCCTCCTTTCTACTTCACCTAGCCACCTTTGTTGTTTACCTTTGAGCTGGAACCATCCCATAGCTGACCCTGCAGTGGGTTTTCAGAGGCAGTGAATTGTATGGGAGGAGATTCCCTGCCTTTGTCCTGTAGAGCAGCTGGTGATTTGAACCGCGTAGCCTTGAGTTGGCAGAACAATTCCATACCGCTGAGCCACCACCTCTGGTGGCGGTCTGCTGACCTAGGGGTCAGAAGCTGTGTTGTAGTCCGAAAGTGCACGTGGTTCAAATCCACCAGCGGGTCCCCGAAAGGATGAGCATTCTCCTCTCATGCGATTTGCTGCCTGTGAAAACGCTACGGAGGGTCAGCTGTGACTCAACAGCACACAACAACAGAGCTCCCTCCTGGCCTCTCGATGGACAGCTTCCTCCCCGGGACTGAGGTGGCCAGCCCACGCAGGAGAAGCCTGCTGCCTGGTTACCTTTGCCCGACTTCTGCAGTGTCTCCTCCATACTAGGAGCCATCAACCTCATTACTTTTATACTAGTCACATTTTCTTAGCTTTTTAATATTCTCATGTGGTATGTACCCCCTTTTTGACTGACTTCACTCTAGTATAATACCGCTCAGATTCATATATGCGTGTGTGTATAAATATATATAAAATGTGTATTATGATTGTGGCGCTGTTCTTGAAATTGTATAATAGTGTATTGACAATGTGTAGCATGGTTTGTTTATCCATTCATCCCATGATGGACACTTGGGTTATTTTCTTTCTTTTTTTTTTTTTTTCTATATTTTATTAATTTTCATAAACATTTACAGAGATTTTGGGTTTCCATTCATTCATTGTTGCACTATTCTCTCTACCCTCCTCCCAGTTTGTTCTTGTCCAGATGCCACAGTGCTTGTCAAATCCAGTTCTGATTAATCTTCTTTGTCAGTGTGTCCTTTGCCATTCCCTATCACACTTGGGTTATTTTCGTCTCTTTGCTGTTGTAGGTAATACTGCCTTGATCATGAATGTGGCACTGTTGTTTGGTTGTTGTGTATTGTAGGTGTTTGATTTTCTTTAGATCAGAAGCAAGCTCACCTTTTCTCTAAAGGCACACACCGAGAAGTCTGTTGCCCTTGAATCATCTCCCGCTCATGGTGACCCCAAGTCTTGCACTTTGTAGAGCTTCACTCCATAGGCTTTCAGGACAGAAGCAACTGGCCAGGCCTTCTTCCATGATGCCTCTGGTGGTTTCAAACTGCCAAACTTGTGTGTAGTCGTTGAGTGCTTAACTATTTAGACTACCCAGAGGTTTGTAACTTCTTTCCTAGATGGTCTCCATTACAACTGTTCACCTAAACCATGTTGACTACAACTTAGAGCGACCTTATTATGAACAACAGCTCAGAATCTTGTCCTGTGTTGAATCAGCCTCACCGTCCCTGACCCACCTGACTGTATTGCCACAGTCATTGTATCAATCCATCTCATCCAGGGTCTTCCTTTCCTGCATTGACCCTCCACTTTTTAAAGCATGATGTCCTTCTCTAAGTACCAGCCCCTTCTAATAAGATCCCCAAAATATGTGAGAAATAACTTCAAAATCCTTAACTTCAAGGAGCATTCTTGTTTCACCCTCTCCAGAACAGACCTGTTTGTTCTCTTGGCAGTCCATGGTATGTGTAGTACTCTTCTCTAGCACCACAAATCAAAGGCATCCATTGTTCTTCTGTCATTCTTATTCGTTGTCCAGCTCTCACATGCATAGCAAGCAGTTGAGAAGACCATGGCCTGAGTCAGGTGCACCTTGGTCTCTAAACGGACATTGTTGCTCTTTAGACTTTGGAGAGGTCCCTTACAAAGAATTTTCCCAGTGCAACTTGTCTTCATTTCCTGACTGCTGATCTCAAGGTTGGATGCACCTGTCATGATGCTGCCTATTGGTTGCTTCATGGTGAGGGATCTTTGTTTTCTTGATGTTGAGACTCAGTCCATGTTGAATTCTTCAGTCCTTGACCTTCTGCAGCAGGTGCTTCAAGTCCTCCTCAGTTCCAGCAGGAAAGGTAGTGTCATCTGCATAAAATAGGCTGTTGATGATTATTCCTCCATTATAGCTTCTCAGATGTTCTGTTTGATATGTAGATTGAAAAGGTATGGAGAAAGGATACTCCTTAACACACTCCTTTCTTGATTTCGAACATTGCAGTGTTCCCTTTCTCTGTTCAGACATCAGCTTCTTTTGTTGTTGTTGTGTATTGTTGAATCTCATCCAACTGGCGCAGGAGGAGATTGCCCCTCCTTCTGCAGCAGAGTATCTGGTGGATTTGAACTGTGCACCTTTGGGATTGCAGCACAGCTAGACAACAGCTTTTTAGTCTATGTATTGGTTTTGCATGAGCACAGTTAAGTGTTCTTTTATATAAATGGAATATTTATATATTCCATTCTTTTATATTTCAAATAAAATAAAACTTTTATTTTATATTGGTTTACTTACAAAGTTCATATACATTGTTTTTCACACCAAGAGATTACCACTCTTATCAACTTTACCCGTTTGTTATGATCCACAGTCAAATACCTTTGCATAGTGGATGAAACACAACAAATAGACATCCTTCTTGGCGTTAAGCCAACACACATCCATCTGACATCAGCCATAATATCTCTGGTGCTTGGCCTCTTTTAAACCCAGCTTATATTTCTGGCAGTTCTCTGTCAACGCATACTCTAGTCATTTTTGGTTAATTTTCAACAAGATTTTGCTTGCATGTGGTATTAGCAATATTGTTTGATAAATTCCACATTCTGTTGGATTACTTCTTTTGGGAATGAGTATAAAGATGGATCTCTTGCAGTCAGTTGACCAGGGAGCTGTCCGCTAAATTTCTCGGCACAACCTGGTGAATGCAACTGGGGCTGCATCTGTTGAAATATGTCAGTTTGTATCCCATCACTTCCTGAGGCCCTACGCCTGTGTTTTACTTCAGAATCCAATTGGAATGATCAAGTTTTATTTACAGAATAGCAAATATTATATTTATTTTACCAAAATAAATATTGGAAAAACAAACCCCCTTTTATTGATAAACTCCAGCAGCAGACAAGTGCTCGTTAGGGGTGACTGAGGAAGCTAGTGGAACATGGAGAAATTGAGAGTATTTTCTATTTCTATAAAATCATTTACTAATTTAATATTCTCAGACTGTGGTGTTCATGTTGCTGCAAAAGCACCTGTTGCTTTTACTTCTTAGAAAGATTTCTAGGTTCTGTTTCTATTAACTTGCTATTTTGGTTTGTTTCAGACTTCAGAGAAGGAGCTTATAAGTAAGGAACAAGGCAATGAAAAGGCATCCGGGGCCTCTGATGTTGTTCTTTACAAAATCGACGTGCCTGCCAATCGCTATGATCTCCTGTGTCTGGAAGGATTGGTCCGAGGACTTCAGGTCTTCAAAGAAAGGTAGAGAAACATGTGTGTTAAATACTTTGCTAACTTGAATTTCATTTCTTTTTAATCCCAGTCATTATCGGCCATCCTAGTCAGCTTTTTAGAAGAATTCTCGTTGGACAGGTTCACAGCATTAGGTCTGCGTGGATCAGGAAGGAGGATGTCTGAGGGATGAGATTCATGTGTACTGCAGCCACTTTGAAACTGCCTGAATGCTGAACCATAGTAGCCTTTCCTTTTCGGAACATTTTAAAACTGGAGTGGTTAATGATTTTGTGGCTTCTTTAATTTTTTTTGTAGTGTTTTTTTTTAAAGTCAGGTTCAGAGCTCTGGTGGCCTAGTGGCAAGGGGCTGAACTTCAATTCCAGAGACACGCAGTTCAAATCCACCAGATGCTCTGCTGGAGAAGGAGGAGCAATCTCCTCCTGTACCGGTCAGATCCAGTTTGACAATACACACACAAAAAAATTTAAAAAAAAAAAATGGCCAGACCTTAACGACACTTAACTAGAAACAGAGTCACTCCCTCACTAACTTCCCTTGAGTCAAGACCGAGGCTGTGAATGACAAGAGGAGATTGCCCATCTTTTTCCCTGTGGAGCTGGCAGTGGATTTAAACTGCCCGAGAGACGCCATCTTCAGGTTAGCTGCACAGCTCCCTACAGAAGTGGAGAAGGGATTGTGAAAAACAAGGCATTCAAACTTTGTAAAGAAGTCAGAAGAAAACGAAACCAAAAAAGTGGAGATGGGAACACTTGACGTGTTAGTAATAAAATAAGTGAGCTCAGGGATGGCGTGCCCTCATTAACAGTCTTATGATGGCTGTATGATCTTACACAAATTAATTGGCCTCTGTGGTTTCTGTTTCATGATTTGTAATGTGGAAGAATTTAAGACCCTTTCCAGATGTGCTTATAGAAGGCCTGGTGGCACAGCGGATTGATCATGGGGCAGCTGGCAGGTTGACAGTTTGGATCCACCGGCCTCAGGGAGAAGGATGTGGTGGTCAGCTTTCATAAAGGCTTACAGCCTGGAACCCCTGTGGGGCTGTTCTGCTCTGTCCTGTGGGGTCACTGAGTCAGAAGAGATTTTTTTTTTTTTTTTTTTTTTTTAGAAGAGATTTGACACAGTGCGTTTGGTGGGTCCAGAGAGTCGAATAATGAAGATACAAGATAGTGAATGTAGAAACTGAAAAGCAGTGAGCCAATAATGTTGTTGTTGTTATGTGCCATCGAGTTGCCTGCAACTCATAGCGACCCTATGTACAACAGCCCTAAACCCTGTTCTGTCCTGTGTCAGTCACATTGCCTCTGACACACCCATCCAGATTACCCCAGTCACTGAATCCACCTCATAGAAGGTCTTCCCCTCCTGCGCTGTCCCTCTACTCTACCAAGCATGATGTCCCTCTCCAAGGACCTGTCTCTCCTTACAGCATGTCCAAAGTATGTCAGACGAAGCCCCAGAATCCTTGCCTCCAAGGAGTAACCTGGTTTAACCCTCTCTAGAATGGATCTGTTTGTTTTCTTGGCAGTCCATGGTATTCTCAATACTCTTCTCCAGCACCACAGCTCAAAGGCATCAATTCTCCTTCTATCCTCCTTGGTCATTGTCCAACTCTCTGATGCATAACAAGTGATGGCGAAGACCATGGCCTGTATCAAACGCACCTTAGTCTCCAGGGAGACACCACTGCTCTTCAGTACTCTGGAGAGGTCCCTAACAGCAGACTTTCCCATGGCAATGCGTCTTTTAATTTCCTGGCTGTTGGTGCCAAGAGTGTTGACTGTGGAGCCAAGCAGACTAATGCTGTGTACAATCTCAATCTCGTCACCATCTGTTACTTTGGTTTTCATTGCCTGGTTGTTCACTGATCAGTTGAAAACCTGTACAAACGTCTGCCTGGTGCCTGGATTCTGAAACCATACAGCTGTGGAGTAATGGGTCTAGGTGAAACTGTGGTTATACATTTAAAGTTCACTGCTGTCGAGTCAGTTCTGGCCCATAGTGACTGCCCATCAGCTTCCTGAGGCTGTAAATCTTCACAGGACTAGACGGCTTCACCTTCCTTCAGCCGAGCAGCTGGTGCCTTGGAACTCCTGACCTCTGCAGCCCCACACAGCCTGCTGCTCCCAGGGCACAGCTCTGAGTGTGTTTAGTTCACGTACCTGAATTTCAGGGTTGACACCATCGGTTCCATGCATGACTATCAGATGTTCATATTTTAGAGTCGGAGACATTCCCTTCTGGTTGTTTCTCAAACCTGCCTAATCAGAATCTCTATTTTCAATGGGATTTTTATGATCAGACAAATGTTGGGAAAGTGACTTAAAACTATTCCTACTCAAATACAACAGTGGAGACACAGACCGAGCTTGGACGTGTTCCTTCAGTGCCGCCCACCTCGTGAGCACTGATGTGTGGATCTGTGGAAGGACTGTAGGCTTGTGGATCAGGGAGTCGGGAGGACCCCTGGCTTGTTGACTTGACATGGTGCCATGTGGGGGCTAGGGCTGAATGAGGAGACCGACAGATCTGGAATGCAGGAAGAGGTGTGGGCTCTTGAGTTTGCAGCTGATGCCCATTTGAACCTACCTGTGGATGTCGAGGGATGAGTTGACCAGAACCCAGCCAGGTGAAGAGCAGACGATCCAGGCTGTGAGGTAGGGTCAGCTGCTGCTGCTACCAGAGGGTGTCCTCTGGACTGGACTTTGCTTGTGGATGCAGATGCTCAAAGTGAGTTGAACAGAAGATCCTTCAGCAAAAGGGACAGACTTGTTGCCTCAGAGGACTGGTTTGATAGGGATGGACTAGATAATTGGCTGTCTTAAAAGGGAGATATTAGGGCAGGAGACATGAAGTAGCTGACTCACACATTTTGATGAAAGCAGTTATTAGGAAGATGATGGTAAGGTAGGGGGAACCACCTTATATAACATAAGTGAATGAAATATAATCTAAATGAAAGACTGTATGAAACTCTGCACATTCATGAGACAGTATATATGAATGATAAAAATATTCATTGAAAAACCTATTCATGCTCAAAGTGTGTTTCGTGGACGAGCAGCCTGTGTGTCACCTGGGCTGGTAGGTGGCCCTGAGTTAGCTGCCTTCGACCCCTTGGAGGACAGCTCTGAGCCCTGGACTGTCCCACCCCAGCCTCTAGCTCTGATGCAGTGTGGCCACTGTGACAGTCACTGTGTCCGTGCCTCTTGTTAAAGCTCTTCCTCTTTTTGTGACCTTTCCAATGATGATGTCTATTTTCTTGCTCCACTCAAGACCAACTGAAGCAGGATCTGGTTTAACAAAACTCCCAGTTGCTTGTAAGCACATGGAAGCTTGAGACGCATTATTGTCTTAAACCAGCCGTTCCCAGCCGATTCTGGTGCTGACAGTTGCCTGGAGAGGTCTTCGAAGTGCCCTGTTCGCCAGGCCTTTCCCTTTTGTATCCCGGGTCAGTAGGTCCAAATGGGACTCGGGAATCTGTATTTCCAGTAATCATTTACTAGTCTTTGTCATCAGGTTGATTCTAAACCATACAACCCTGTAGGACGGGGGTTTTCAAGAACGTGAACCTTTACAGAAGCAGGCAACTTCATCTCTCTCCCAAAGTGGCGGGTGGGCTTGAACCACTGACCTTCCAGTTAGCACCTGAGTACTTTAACCACAGAGGATCCAGGGTCCAGTCTTACTAAGTTTTATTTTCTTAGCAGTCTAGAATCTCATGATTGAAATCAAACTTTAAAGGCCGTCTCATCCAGCCCTGCAGGTGATACTTCAGTGGCCCCGCACAATCACTTCCTTCTTTCTCCCCGTCTCAGGCTGACCTTCTGTTGAGTTTTTAAGGCTGTAAATCACACGGGAAAACTGCCTGTCTTTCTGTCCAGAGCACCGGGTGGATTTGAACTTCTAGTGGAGTGTGCTGTTTGGATCAGCTCTGTGGCTTTCTACATTCTGTGCCAACAGAACTTCCCCAAACAGCTGCTTGGTTAATTGTTTTTAAGCCTCTGCCGGGAACCTGACCTTGGGCATCATATTTCTCCCTTTTAAAGGAACACTAGAATGAAAGGTTCAAATCCAGCAGCTGCCCCTGAGAAGAAAGGGGGACAGTCTCCTCCCACGAAGATTCATATCGGATACCCGATACAGGGTCACAGTGGATCAGAATATACCCAGAGGCAGTTGGATCTATCATTTTGTGACAATTCTAAATGTTAGAGAGTTGGTTAGATTTTTTTTAGTAGTCAAACTTTGACCTATTATAATTTCAACTCACTGTCTTGGTTCTGTTTATTTTTGTATAATTTCTATACATGACTAGAATATAAATAACCTTATCAAATATTTTGATTAACTGCTTATTTGATTTACTCTTATTTTAGGATAAAGGCTCCAGTATATAAACGGGTAACACCGAATGGAGAAATGCACAGATTGACCGTGACAGAAGAGACAGACAAAATACGCCCTTACGCGGTAGCAGCCGTTCTCCGCAACATAAAGTTTACAAAAGATCGCTATGACAGCTTCATTGATCTTCAGGAGAAATTACACCAGAACATTTGCAGGTTTGTGGTTGTGTCACCTTCCTCCCACCTCCCCTCTTTCAGCCTCCGCTCTCTCCTTTTCGGTTCCTGTCTCCCCCTCCTCTCCATCTGTAGTCCCTTTCCCTCCTGAATCTATCTCTTCCTCCCTGGCAGAGTTTTTCATAGTATTTCTAATTTAATAACGTGAGAGTACCAAGAGTTCAAATCTGCTTTATCAGTATATTTGTTTCTGCCTTTTTCCTTTTTTTTTTTTTATGTTGAGAAAAATTTGTATTTAGAATTAACCAGCTGGACTTAGTTTAGATGATCCCAATTTTGTTGGCAACATCCAAAGCATCATAGTCAGGAGCAAGTCGAACATAGGCCTTCTTCTCTCCATCAGGCCTAATCAAAGTGTTGACCTTGGCCAAATCAGTGTCATAGAGCTTCTTTACAGCTTGTTTAATTTGGTGCTTGTTGGCCTTGACATCCACAATGAACACAAGTGTGTTGTTATCTTCTATCTTCTTCATGGCTGACTCAGTGGTCAGGGGAAATTTGATGATGGCATAGTGGTCAAGCTTGTTTCTCCTGGCGGCGCTCTTCCGGGAATATTTGGGCTGCCTTCGGAGTCTCAGCGTCTTAGGCAGCCGGAAGGTGGGTGATTTGCGGATCTTCTTTTTTTTGGCCGTGGATGCCCTTCAGGACGCCTTCTTGGTCTTTAATGCCTTTGCTTTGGCTTCGTTTTGGGAGGGGCCGGGGCTTCCTTCTTCGCTTTAGGCGCCATCTTCGTAGAAAGCTGAATGGCCTGTGCGTGGAGAAACATGGAGACCTAGGAATTTTTTTTCTTCGTTCAAATCATCATTAAATATAAACTGTTGTAGTTTGAAGTATTTTCTGTAGTTTAAAATATTAAAAAAAAAATTAGCAGTCAGTCACACTTTTTGAGTTGTTGCTGTAGTTGTATACCATCACGTTTGAACGACCCCATGGCTGACCCTCCGGCAGGTTTTCAGAGGCAGTTAATTGCACAGGAGGAGATGCCCGTCCTTCTCATGCGGAGCAGCTGGTGGGTTCAAACCACATGCTTCGAGATTGCAGTGCAGCTTCTTACCACTGACCTAGTGCCCCCGTAGTAACACTGTAGGACAGAGTAGAATTACTGCATAGAGTTTCCAAGCCTTCAAGGAGTTTTCATGGAAGGGAGTCCTGGTGGCCTAGTGGGTAAGGGGTTGCTCTGCCTAGCAAAGGCAGGCAGTTCAAACCCCCCCCAACTGCTCCTTGGGAAAAAGATGGGCAGTCTCTGGTGAGATTTCCAGCCTCTGAAACCCCCTGGAGCATCTGCTGTAGGTCGGTTCTGACGCGGCGTCAATGAGTTGTTCAGTCCTGTGGAAGCACACTGCCATGCCTCCCACAGGGTGAGTTCAAACCTCCAACCCTTTGTTTGGCAGCCAGGCTCTTACCCTCTACAATACCACAGCTCCTTAAGAATCTTAAATCTCTCCACTCCTAGAGGTCAAGGAAATCAACAGTGGGAGTCCTTGAGCTACTTTTAGTATTTATTGGCCTCGTGGTAAGAAATTGTGTTGCAGTCCAGACCGAAGTGTTTCAAATCCACCACCACCGGAGAAGGATGGGCGGTCTCCTGTGCATTAACTGTCTCTGAAAACCCACCACCGTAGGGTCAGCTGTGGGCCGCTTGCAACTCAAGGGCGCTCAGTAACAATGGAAACTGCTGATAAGCGAACTGAAGCTCCAGCTAACACTGACACCTCAGGTTTTCTTTGTGTACCTGGAATGTAGCAACATTGGGCATTTAATTGTACTCCCAAGTATGAATGCTGGATATCTAGGTCTTGAATGGAAATAGAAAAAGTTGTTTTATTTTTTAAATAACTGGAGTCTGGTAAATCATGGAGACATACAGAATAGGCTGTGGACAGGGTTGAAAGAGATTATTTAGTGGAGTGGGTTTTTAAAATTTTTTCATTAAAAAGTATTTAAAAATAAAAACCTACATTTGTAGTTGAGCTCCCCAGGTTTTTTTTTAAAAAATTTTCTTTTTTTAATTTTATTGTTATTTATGTGCATGTGTATTCAAATTGGATCCGACTGGTGCAGGAGGAGATTGTCCCTCCGTCTCCAGCAGAGCATCTGGTGGATTCGAACCACATACCTCTGGGATTGCAGTGCAGCTTCTTGCCACTAGGCCACCAGATCCCCCCAGGGGGTTGTTTGTTTGTTTGTTTGTTTTTTAATTAACACATGATTGTTGCAAGTAACATTTCTGTTCCGTGTTTTAGAGTATGTTTGTGAGCTTGCTTTGTTGTTAGGTGACTTCATGTGTGTCCAGATCTTAGTGGTCCCCACCCCCCACTGAGTACATCAGAGCCGCCCGCTGCCCCACCTGCTGCCCACTGGGCACCAGCCTCACAGTCACTGCTGAGCTGGACCCCGTGGTTGCCCCCAGTGGCAGTCCGTCTTGCTCGGGGTCTTTCTCTCCCCACCGCCCTCTACTTTATCCCACTCGATGTTTTTCTGTAGAGAGTAGCCCCTCCTGATAATGCCCAGAGTGTGTGAGGCGAAGAGTCAGCATCATGATTTCTGCAGTGCGTCCTGGCTGTCCTCGTGCCAGGGCAAGCCTGTTTGTTTGGCGCATTCTCTCAGGATTCTTCACCAAACCACAATTCAAAGGCATCAGTTTCTCTTTCTTATTCATTGTCCGGTTCTCATGTATTTCTGAGGTGACTGAAAATACCGTGGCTTGAGTCTGGTGTACCTTATTCCCGAAGTAGCATGCTCCCTCTTTTAGCTTGTTAAAGAACAGATTTACCCAGCACAGCGTTTGAATTCTTGACTGCTGCTTCCACGAATAGTTGTGATAAGTAGTTATTAAACAAAAGGTGAAGACCTTAAGCTTCCTTATAAAACAAAACGTCAAGACCTGGATAGGGAGCTCAGGTGGCCTAGAGTAAGGAGCTGCTCTGCCAACCTGCAGGTTCACAGTTTGAATCCACCAGCTGCTCCACCGGAAGAGGATGGACAGTCTCCTGTGTGATTTACTGCCACTAAAAACCCACTGGAGGGCCAGCTATGTGTTGGTTTTGACTTGATGTTAGAGCAGCAACCATACAAGACTTTAAATATTTCAAAATGCAAAACAGAATGTAAGATTTCTGACAAGTGTAGATATCCCTTCTGGACGTACTCATTTTATTCCCTGTATTTATGTAAATTAGAGAGTCTTTCTTAACTGTAAGCTCTATTTACCTGCCCTCTGCGGAGGTCTTGAGCTTGTTCCGAGGTGAGGAGCAGGAGACATCCTGGTACTTCTGGCATGCTTGTCAGCTAATCCTAATTAACCTCTTGTTGAATTTGTGTTTCTATGGACTATAGCTGTTTCATCTAAGAGCCCTGGTGGCAAGGTGGATTAAACATTGGTCAGCCAACCAGACGGTTGATAGTTTGGATCTATTTCCATAAAGATTCCCACACCAACACACACTTCCTGTGGGCCAGACCTCACTCATGACCTTCCACTGGCTCCCTGAGGTTGTAGTTCTTCAAGGGAAGGAGCCGCTGGTGGATTGGAACTCCTGACCTTTGGGGTTAGCAGCACAATGCAGCACAGGGCCTTCTGTAAATATTACAGTCTTGGAAGCTGTAAGGGGTAACTTTACTCTGGCTTAAAGGATTGTGATGAGTTGGAATTGCCTTGATGGCAGTGGGTGTACAGAGGGTTTCATCTGAAACATTACATTTATTGGCATAAAGTGGTTCATAATATTCCCATATTACCCTTTCTAGTATCCATAGGATTTGTCGTGTTCCTGCTTCTTATAGCTTTATTTCTCTTTTTCTCCTATTTCACATATTGCTGTAATTTCCTTTAATTACCTTAAAATGAACAGCCAGCTTTTAACTTTTCCTACGTACTAAATTAAACTTTAAATGTTAGTCACAGTTCTTTAATGTAAAATTTATATTACTAATTAATATGTGATCAAAAAGAATTTAAAAAACCCACAAGATAGAGCAAGGGGTGTATTTATTCTAATTTAATGTAAGCATTTATGTTCGTGTGAGGGCACTAAGAGGAACTAGTAAAAGAAAATAAAAGTAATGCTGGCTGTGAAAATGTCCTATGAGTACTATTCGGGAAAGCATATTGACAAGGAAAGAATTTGAGCGCCTTCATAGAATCTGTTTTCAAAGTAGCTTAGTCATTTGTCATTTTAGTTCACAGTTGCAGGAATTTACATTCCACTAAAGGTACCATTTAGCAAGTAACATTTTTAAGAAAGGGTCTGTAAAAGAATTCTTTTAAAATAAATAGTCTGTTTTCTTAGAAATTTTGCTTTGGAATATTCACCTAACATTCTCTTTAACATTTAGAAAAAGATCGTTGGTCGCCATTGGCACTCATGATCTGGACACGTTATCAGGACCATTCACATACACCGCAAAGCGTCCTTCAGATATCAAGTTCAAGCCTCTGAATAAGACCAAGGAGTACACAGCTTGTGAACTTATGAAGCTCTACAAGGTAAATGTTCTTCTCTGTTGTATGGTAGCTGCGTCTGAATCGTTAAATTCCTTCAAAAGGAGCCCTTCGAATAGGGAAATACAAGGAATGCTTTTTTAAAAACACTAGTATCTGGACACCAGCCCAGAAATAATGGATTCGTTTTATCGAGTCTGGGAACTGAGTGTACTTTGTAGTTGTTGTTTCCTCAATTTCCCAGACGCTTTTAATGGATAGTTAGAATTGAGACTCACTGAAATAAACCAGACCTCACTGTAACCTTCACAACTGCATATAATTAAAATCCATGCAAGCTTTATGTGAGAAATACTATTGCAGAGTGTCCCCCGCTCGTTATTAATGTTTTGGCGTCACTTGAAACGCATCCCACTGCCGTCGAGTCAGAACCATGTAATCCATAGCTGACTCTGCAGGTGAGTTTCCGAGCTGTAGCCTGAGTGAGAGGAGAGGGCTCGTCTTTCTCCATGGAGTTGCTGCTGCTGTCAGACCGCTGGAGGGGCCGCCTCTGGATGAGCCCTGCAGCTCCCTACAGACCAGGGCGTGACAGCCCCTCGCCCTTTTCAAGTCAATAGGTCACGGGTGTGTGTTACTCAGAAAAGCAGCTCTGCTTATCTTTGGTGTGATTGGCAAATGAGTTCTTCTGTTTACCTGAGTAGTTCTGTAGTGGGTTCTGTCTTGTTGGAAGTGACTCCGGCGTAGGGTGTATCAGGGGAGATTTATTTTTACTCTTTAGAACAACTCGGTTACTCAGTTATGTATTCCTTTTCTTTTGCCAACAGAAGATGAAGTGGTACATGGATATTACTTTATATCAGAATGTCTTATAAATTTAGATATTTCTGAGGACTCTTGTGGGTTTTTTCCCTTCTTTTTTCTTGACTTACGTCGTTGTTGTTAAGTGCCGTCGAGTCACAGGCGACTCATAGCGACCCTATGAAGGAGAGTCCTTGACTCTTGGGTGCCTTTCATCCTCTCTCCAGGTTCATAGGGTTTCCGGAGGCAAGCTATTATGGAAGTGGACGCCACTCCTCCTTCCATGCTTGTTTAATCAGGGAGCTCTACCCCACTCTGAGTCCGCACTGGGTAGTCAATCATTAACGCATTTGACACATCAGTGTCACGGTGTTCAGCCTCACAGCAACCACAAGTGACTACGGTATGGCAGCTTGTACACCAGGAATATATGACCTAGAGGAATGTCTAAACAAAAACAATGAAAGACAAGGCCCTAGGGCCACGGAGTAAAAGTCACCCACCTTTGGCTTGGTAGCATCGCTTTCTGTCCACTGGGCCAGCTGATCTCTCTCTGTTGATATTATTGTTGTTAAGTGCCATCGAGTCGCAGGTGACTTGTAGAGATCCTATGAAGGAGAGTCCTCGGCGCTTGGGTGCCTTTCATCCTTTCTCCAGGTTCATAGGGTTTCTGGAGGCAAGCTATTACGGAAGTGGATGCCACTCCTCCTTCCAAGCTTGACTTACGTTAGGTAGGTGAAAGAAATAAAAGATGACATTTGTTGGACCTTTTTTTTTTCTCCAGACTGACAACAACCTTAAACATTACTTACCTATCATTGAAAATAAACCTCTCTACCCAGTCATCTATGATAGCAATGGTGTTGTCCTGTCAATGCCTCCGATCATCAATGGTAAGTTCTTTCAAAAGCACGTAGACTCTTTGCTGCTTCTTTTTCTTTAAAATTTCCGTATTATTTGCTATAAACTGGCTGATCCACATCAAATTATTTTAATCTGAGCCTTTCAAGTCTGTCATTTTGATTATAGTAGCTCTTTTCATCCGTTTATTCAAGAAATGGAGTCATCTAGCATTTTTCTGGTGATTTTCCTGACATTTCTAAATGAGTATTGATAAGTTCATAAATATTTTTCTGTGCCTGTCTCTGGATTCTGTTCTATTCCTCCAAGAGATGTTGTTATTTTGATCGTAGCAGGCAGTTAACTTGAAATCACACTCTGTCTTGCCTGCAGTTTTGTGTTGTTATTGTACCATCAGGTAAGAACTGACTCAGAGCTGACCCTCGAGCAGTAAATCTCGTGGGAGGAGCTTGCCCGCCTTCCTCCTGCAGAGCCAGCTAGTGGATTTGAACTGCACACATTTGAGTTGACAGTTCAACTCCTTACCCCTAAGCCACCCCAACTCTCTGCAGTTTTATAGTTGAACTAAACAGTTTACATTTTTCCATCTTAACTCATTCCTGAAGGCTTTTTGATGAAGCACCTTAAGTGTATTCATAACATTTAATGATGTTTCAGCTGCAGATGCCCTCCAGTGCTGTCAGTGACGAGGAGATTGAGGTGATTTTGGCTCCTTCTGCATTTCTTGGATTGTATTAGGATAGTGGTTAGGTGCATGAGATCAGTTTGATCCAAGCCGTGTTCTTCTCAGTTACTTGATATGCATCTGAAAGTTGGACAGTGACTAAAGATGATAAAAGAATCATCAATGCCCTTTGAGCTGTGGTGTTGGAGAAGAGTAGTGAATATCCCGTGGCCTACCAGGAGAACAATATGTCTCTGTTGGAGGAATTGCATCCCGGGTGCTACTCGGAGGCAAGGATGGTGAGACCTCGTGTCACATACCGTGGACATTATAGGAGAGGCCAGTCCTTGGAGAGGGACATGACGCTTGGAAAGGTGGAAGGTCAGCCTCAGGGAGGAGGACCCTTATCAGATGGACTGATACCGGTGGCTGTATCAGTGGGTACAAGTATATAGGAGATGGGTTGGCCCAGGATAGGATAAGGTTCACGGTTATTGTTCACAGGGTCACTGAGTTGCTCTTTTAACGTACCTTCCTGTTAGTTTATAACCATGGTCAAGTAGCTTACTCTTTCTGAGCCTTAGTTGCCGTGTATATAACTCCTTTTTAGGTAGTCTTTACCATCACATAAAGATTAAATGAGACAACGTATGTTAGAGCTTGGCATAGCACCGGACAGTGGATGCACTCAGTAAAGACGTGTCATTATTTTATTTTTATTCTCTAGTTTATCATGAGGGAGCTCTGGTGGCTGAGTGGTAAGAGGCTTCGCCGCCGGCTCAAGTGCACGTGGTTTGAATCCACCAGCTGTTCTGCAGGAGAAAGATGGACAGTCTCCTCCCATGGGATTTACTGCCTCTGAAAATCTGCTGACGGGTCACCTATAAGTTAGAGCTGACTTAGTGTCACATAACAAAAGCAACAATTTATAATGAAGACTTAAAAGCAAAGCTGTATAGCCCCTTACTGCTGAGGAGTCAGTTTATATTATGCCTCAACTTAAAACTGTATTTTCTGTTTTATTGAGCTTTTAGTTTACTTAACATTTCTGAAAAGGACTTTTAAGAACGCTGTTGTTTTGTTTGCAGGAGATCATACCAAGATAACACTAAAGACTAGAAACGTATTTATTGAATGCACAGGAACTGACTTTACTAAGGTAAAAAATAAGTTCTGTTTTTGTACTGTCAGACAGCACTTTACAGTATGTTCGTTTTTTGGGTGTAAACTTATTTTAGGTATTTTGAAAACGAGAAACAGATATTCTATACCTTAGTTATATGGTGCTTTCATTCATTCAACAAACAGTGAATAAGCACCTGCTATCCTTCCAGTGCCAGGAATTTAATAACGGATGATGTGTTTTGAACTTGAAGGAATTATTCTTATTAACTCCCATAAACAGAATGGGATAAGTACCTTAGTGAGAGCTGTACAAGTCATTTCTCTTTCTTGGCTTATTGTAAATGGCAAATAGTTTTATGCCTTTGTGAACATGGGGAAAAAAAGTAGTGAGTTGGCTATAAAGACATTTTATTTATCAAATTGTTAAAAGATTTATGCACAAAAGCCATCCAGAAGCACGTTCATGTTCTTGTTTGTCGCTGCGTTTATTGACGTGGAACACTGGAAACATCCTCCAGCTGCAGGTCACTTCACGTGACTTCTTTACACATTTTGGGGAAGCAGAGTGAGTTGGCAAGTAAGCAGACAGAAGCTTAAACGGCAGGAGAAGGCTTGAGTTCAGAAGTTGGACAGATAAATGGCATTCATATACATTGTAGATGTTTGAAGACCATCATAAGGCATTTTATTTTAACAAGTTTTAAAAAGTTACTCATTCTTCAACAGACTTTGGGTATCTTCCCTGAGCTTATATATATCACACAAGCAAAACAAGTACAAGCAAAGCATGCATGTGACCCAGCAAAGCTTTGAATGAATATTGACACAGTAAAGGCCTTGTCAGACTAAGAAAGTCAGATTTACTTCAGTTGAGTCTGTTTCGGCTCAGAGTGACCTTTCGTTTCCAGAGCGGTGAAAGGCACTGTGGGAGACAGTGGTGGATTTCAGACAAAGGGAACACAGAGACTAGGGGTCACCAGTGCAGCCTGCTGCTGATGATGCCACCAGGGCTTCCTATGGACTTTAGAGATTGATTCGATATTATTATTATTATTATTATTATTATTATTATTTTAACTGGGGCAAAAAAAAAGTATCATGCTTTCAAAGGAAAAGACAATCATTTGCTCATAATAATCAAATGAAGTAACCTTAATGATGAGATGACAGATGTACAGAAAAGATCAGAAGCATCTTGGTCAAAGTTACACCACGAGGTAGTGTTTGAGTGAGCCCCAGGCATCAGACAGTCTGTCTGGCTTCCAACAGTTAGGAGAGTGGTAATGTCTTTTCCTGGTAATTAGTCATTTCTCTCTCTCAACTTGGTAAATTCAACAAGGAAAGCAAATGATTTATCTCCATATTGGATTGTAACAGGACTGTCAGAATTGCATAAATACAGAATTCCTATGGCTAAGAACCGGCCTATGGTTAGAATTTCTTATTTCACTTTCCTTTTTAGAACATATCTATAAAGATCCAATTTTAGGTATTTGGGAACGAAATGATACTAAATATGAATTCATTTCCATTTAATGAAGAGAGAGTTTGTTTTTAGAGAGCCATCCTTTTTTATTGTTCTTTCTCTCATTGCAGGCAAAAATCGTCCTTGATATTCTTGTCACCATGTTCAGTGAATACTGTGAGAATCAGTTTACGTAAGTTCACATATCATTTTATCAGTTGCTGAAGGAGCCTGGGTGGTGTAGTAGTTGCTTGGCTGATAGTGAAAAGGTCATTGATTCCAAGTCACTCCTTAAGAGAAGAGGCGTGGAGGTCTGCTTTAAGATTACGCCCTTGGGAACATTGCTGAGCAGTTCTGCTCTTCAGTGTCAGTCCCTGTACATTACAGTCAACTCAGCAGCGGTAGACTTCGGGTGTATTGACTGCCTCCTGATCTCAAGACAAGGCATCAAGGCCTCGTGCTAAATTTATAGAGGAAACATGGCTCCTGGGACTAGAATATAAGACCATGTGCATAAATAACGTGCAAAATAAAATGTGACTAAGTAATTTTACAAGGTTCAGTGATGTCTGTTTGTAAGAACACATTATTGTCAGATGAGGCAATCTGGAAAGACCAATCAGGGGATGAAATTTAAAGTGTATTTAAAGAGGATTAAATTTGAGAAAGTAAAGGTGGGGAACAGTAACAAGCAGCTAAACAAAGGCACAGAAGTGTGCAGGAGCGCAGCGTCTGTCCTGTGCACAGACGGCCTCTTTTACAAACATGCAGCTTGTGCTTGCCTATATTGTTAGGTAAGTTTGCCCCTTGAAACGCTTGAAGCCATCTCTGCTCTAATCCAGTTTTTCATCACTTTCTGTATATGCCGTTTCTACATCATGGAAAAGGTTGCCAGACTTTCCTTGCATTAATGTTAAATAAGAATTATATATTTACCTTACCTCCAAATCCGACTTAAGGACTTCCTTGGGCCTAACAGCGCACTGAAGAATGAATCTCATCCATAACCTAGGGAGTGCCTGCATTTCCGTATGATGACTGCATTTTTAACAAAGCCCATCGTTTTAAATTAAAAAAAAATCAGGGGAGCTCTGGTGGTCTAATGGCAAGGAGCTGCAACTACAATCCCAGAGGTGCACGGTTCGAATCCACCAGATGCTCTGCTGGGGAAGGAGGGACAATCTCCCCCTGTACCAGTCAGATCTGATTTGATGGTACACTCACACAAAAAGAATAATTAAAAAAAAAAAATCCCCAAAACAAAACACCCAAATATTTAACAGCCTATACATCCCTTACCATATGTTGGTATTATCGTTTATTCTCGAGAATTCATTATCATTAAAATGCCTGTCTGTAGAAAGCATAAAAAAAGTCCAGCTCTTAGCTGTCGAGGTGGAGCTGATGTATAACTTTCCCTCAGTTGGTTTTCTGAGACTATAAATTGCATCCTTTTCCCTTGTTTTTCCCCTGAGGAGCTGCTGATGGACTCAAGCCGACAGGGAGGCATAGCCTCGGAGGTGTCTGTGCATCTCCCCACAGTCTGTGTTACCAGAGCTCCTATGTAGAAATGGTCCAGGCGGTATCTTTTTTGAAAAAGATTGGTAAACGCTTTAGTGGTTCAGTTGGTATATGTTATGTGACGTGCCACCTTGGTAAGGCCTAGAATGTGTGTATTGTCCTGACAAGTCCCTATGGGGTGCATGCTTCCAAAGGGTAGGAAGTCACCTTATCAAGTGAGCACTGCTCACTGTAGGGACCAAGAGAGCTGCTGGAAATGGAGTAAAAATTCAGAAGCAAGCCCACTGCCCCCGAGTCCCACTCAAGCAACTCTCCGTGGGGTTTCCAAGGCTGTAACTCTTTCTAGGAGGAAACTGCCCCTCTTTCTCCTGAGGCTCAATTGGTAGATTTAAACCACTGAGCTTTCATTAAGCAAGTTGACTACTTCGTCCTGTGCCACTGGAATTTCTAACATTGTATCTAGGAAGATGAATCCAAACAGTGTTGGAATGTGAGTTGGGCTGAAAGTTGTAGATCAATGAAAGATTTGTTAGTAAACGCATTTCTGGATTTGCAGCCCTTTTTGTCCTAGGTACTTATGTCTTGTCCTTTTTTCCAGAGTTGAGGCAGCTGAGGTCATTTATCCTAATGGGAAATCACATACTTTTCCAGTAAGTATGTAAGACGTTGGTTGGAGGTGGTGAGGCGGGAAACAGTAACAGTAATGACCGTAGAATGCGGCTGTGGCCCTTAGCAGTCCGCCTGGCCGTGCACTTTATGTACGTGATGACGTGGCAGCCAGCGGGCAGGTCCTTGTCAGGAGGGGCATGCAGACCACTCCAGCTTGGGAATGAATGGCCTCCTGTTGGTGTGGACTCAGTGTGACGGGCGTACGGTGGGACACTTGAACTATTGTTTTTTTGGCCACATACAGCTGCTTTCATGAGAGAAAATAGAAAATCTTTAGCAGGCTTTATAAGCATTTACAAATGATGTCTTGTGCCAATATTTAATGTAGGGAATGGTGGTTGATTATTGGAAAGAGAAGAATAATTGACATTTTATATTAGTTACAAGCAGTGTGACTTGTCCAGCAAATAAAATGTCCATGTATATAGATGTAATGTTGGACATTTTTTCCTTCATGGTAATGTTCTAAACCGCCAGGTTTATTTTTGTTACTTGGCTTTAATGAAAATCTCTTGGGAGGAGAGTGAAATTGAGCAATAACAACAAGAAAACTCAATTAGAAAGAGTCCAAAGCTATACTCGGTGGAGAATGACTTAGGTTTCTCAAACTATAAATTTTATCTATTTTCTGTTTAAGGAATTGGTTTACCGGAAGGAGATTGTGAGAGCTGATCTCATTAACAAAAAAGTTGGAATCAGGTATGCTTTGAAAACTATACCTACTACTTTTGAAGGAATTAAAAAGAGTAATTTGTCTTTCCTGAAAGAGTGCTTAGAAGAGTGTTTTGCTTTCTCTTTACAGTAAATTTGAGGGTTAGTGAAAAAGGAGAACCTTCAATGAAATGGATTGGCATAGAGGCTGCTACATTGGGCATTGATAGTGAGTGTGGCTCAGGACCAGGGGTGTTGGGCTGTTATACACAGGATTGTCAGGAGACAGACACAACTCAGTGGTACCGAACGACAAGGGTAAAACATCAGCTCTCGTACTGTCTGAGAATGGAATAGGGCTACACAAAGAACAATTACTGTCTTAGGCAGGGTTGTATTTTAAAGCCAAGTATCAGCTTGTTTGTGACGTTATTATGTTGTGCATTCCTGTTTCAGAGAAACTCCAGAAAATCTTGCAAAACTTCTGACCAGGATGTGTTTAAAATCAGAAGTCATAGGCGATGGCCATCAGATAGAGGTTGAAGTCCCTCCCACCCGCGCTGACATCATGCATGCCTGTGATATTATAGAAGATGCGGCTATTGCTTATGGCTATAACAACATTCAGATGCATCTCCCCAAAACATACTCCATAGCGAGTCAAGTAAGGTTGCACCCTTAAATAAACACTCCTTCTTGTTAGAAACTGATTATTGAGTGCCAGGAAGCTTCGAGAAAAGCAGACCAGAGAGATTAAGCACTATTTTGACACGCTCAGCTGTGGGAAGCATTTACTGTTGGGGAATACAAAACAGATGCCTGATTGATTGGAGTAAGTTGGAAATCCGTG